TATTTTCCAGATGTAATCCCAGCAGTCTAGGAGGCTGAGGCAGGAGGGTCACAAGTTTGAACCCAGTCTAGCCAATTTAGCAGGCCCTTTTCTCAAAATGAAAAAGAAGGGGCTGGGGATACAGATCAGTGTTGAAGCCCCAGCACCACAAAAAATAGAAGTAAGACTAAATATTTTTAATCTACAGTTGGTTGAAACTGTAGATAAAGAACTTGAAGATACAAAACTCTGAGTATACTAACATTATGGCTAGGGTTACTGCGTAACAATACAGGGCTCATAAAACTTTGAGGGAACTGGAAAGGGGAGAGATGAGCACAAAGTGAGAGTCATCAGGAAAGCTGTTACAAAAATATATCGAGGTAGGGCTTATTTTAGGACAGGCCTATAGCAAAAAGGGTGGCTCATCAAGTGAAAGGACAACCACAGCCCCGGCCCAGAACCAGGACAGCACCTGGTCTCTTCAGGATACCCAGCTAGACTAAAGTACAGGTGCAGAAAGACAAAGCCGGCAAAGGTTAAGCGGCTGGCTGGTAAGGACAGTCAGGAGATATGATTCTTCCAGTCTCCTACTGGTTACCAATTTCCCTTCTGGATGTTCAGAATGGAAGCCTGCAATGCCCCGGGGCTTGATCCCCAGCACTACAAAAAAACAAAACAAAACTGAATTTAAGACAAGTACGAGAAAAATGTCTTAGCAAAATTTATAACTTTAATACAAAAGTCATTACTTTTAAAAAGAACCAAACAGAAATTCTGGAGTCCAAAAAAACAGTAACTGTCATAAAGTGTCTCAATATTTGAGTAAGAATCAGTAAACACGAAGACAGGACAACTGAATGGACAAAAGACAAAGAGAATGAAGAAAAAAGAACAGAACCTAAATAAAGACCTGTGGTAAACCAGGTGTGGTGGCATACACACTTATAAAACCTTGAGTGCTATAATCCCAGCACTCAAAGAGGCTGAGGCAGGAGGATTGCTGTGAGTTCAAGACCAGCCAGGACCACACAGTAAGTTCAAGGCCAGCCTGAACTTCAGAGCAAGACCCTGTCTCAAACCCCTTTCCCCGCAAAAGACCTGTGGGATACCATTAAAAAAAAAAAAAAGGGCCGGGGATTTAGCTCAGTGGTTCTGCCGCATGCCTTGCAAGCACAAGGACCCGAGTTTGATCCCCAGTACCAAACCAAACCAAACAAAACAAAACAAAAAAAACCCAAAACCTGTGGGACACTATCAAGTATACCAGCATGTATAAACTGTACTAGGATCTCGGGAAAGGAGAGACACAGGAAAAAAAATATCTTAAGAAATAATGCCTTAAAAATCCCAACTCTGATGAAAAACATGACTGTATACATTCAAGAAGCTAAACAAATTCCAAAGGCTAAAGAGATACAAATTTAGGACACATTATAATCCAAGTGTCTAAAAGCAAAAACAAAGAGCAGCAAGAGAGAAACACTTTGCAATACAGTTTACAGTAGTTACACAATGTCATCACAATGAATTAAGAAAACATTGAGCCACTGCTCCTAGAAGACAGTCAGGTTCCTTTGAGCCTCTAGTTGTACCATTTTCATCAAGCACTCAATATATAGTTTTGTTTTATGTATGTTTCTGCTTATAGATACATGGGTTGGGGTGTGGCTCACTGGTAGAGTGTGTGCTTAGCCTGCACAACGTCCTGACGTCAACCTCAACAACGAACTTTAATTAACACTGTATATGGCTGATGGACATGGGACTTACAGCAAAAAGCACATAATTCATGCCTGAGTGAAGTTTATCTAACACACATCTTCTCTATGAGGTAAACCACAGTCTCCAGTGCTTAGGAACAGTGAAATTGCCAGCAAAAAGCATAAAAGTGCAAAAATGTGGCATTAAATAAACCATTTTTAAAAAACATTAAAAAGGGCCATTAAAAAAAAGGGTCTGAGAGTTGAAATAAGAAGGCAGTACATGTTTGACCTCAGCCTGGGACACGCATATTGGATGACTCAAACTTCTCACTCAGTGCATGACTGTAAATGACCACAAATGCCCCACAAGCATTGATTTGGGTTTGGGTTAAAAACAAATTTTAGCAAGTAGACAAATTCACACATTCACAGAATCTGCAAATAATGAGGATTGACTATCTAGTACCACTTAAAATACTTGCATTCTTACAGCCAGGTGTGGTGGTGCACACCTATAATCACAGCACTCGGGAGACTGAAGCAGGAAGATCACCCCAAATTCTATACTTTGTTATGGGCTACATAAGAAAAAGCACTAATAATACACTCTTCAAAGGGTGATTTGGGATTGGGAATGTAGCTTAGTACTGGAACACTTTTCTAGTATTCATGAGTTCCTGGGTTCAATCTCCAGCAACACATACACACACTGTCTGTCTGTCTGTCTGTCTCTCTCTCTATTTTAAAGGTGAATTTTATGCATATAAATTATATTGCAATAAAACCATTGCTTTTTTAAAAAAGTTATTACTTGTTTTTCTTTGCCAATTTTCTTTTGTAACTTTTCATCTACTCCCAAAGGATATAAAATAAAAGATGCTTCCCAGGGATGTCCTTTTTTTTTTTCAAATGGAGTCCATGCAGTTCAAGCAGGCCATGAGCAAGCTACATAGGCCAAGCTGGCCTCAAACTCTTGATTCTCCTACACCAGCCTCCCAAATGCTGGGATCACAGTCATGTACCACTATGGCCGGCCAGGGATGTTGTTAATGCCAGACTTAAGTCTCCTTTTTGTACTTCAATTGGAAATCGGTATTTGAATTTTACTACCCAGAATCAGGAATGTTAAGTTGCACCCAACTACCACAAAAAAGAAAACAGATAAAATAAGTCTTTAAAGAAAAATTAATTAATTTTTGGTATCATGGATCGAACTCAGGACCTTCTGCTTATGAGGCAGGCGCAGTGCCACTGAGCTAAATCCCCAGCCCCAAAGAACATTTAATTTAGGCTGGGCGTGGTGGAGCACACCTGTAATCCCAGCACTCAGGAAGGCTGAGGCAGGAGGACTGCTGTGAGTTCGAGACCACCCTGGTCTACACAGTGAGTTCCAGGTCAATCTCAACTACATAGTGAGACCCTGTCTCAAAAAAAAAGAACATTGAATTTAATTTAGAATCCTTGGACCGGGATTTACCTCAGTGGTGCCGCCTGCCTTGCAAGCACAAGGTCCTGAAACAAACAAACAAACAAACAAAATTAGAAACCTTAATTTACAGGTGAAGGAGGGGGAAATTATCCCAGGATACTCAACATCTTTCATTAAACCACATAATATCAAGATCAAACTTGGGTATGTATATTGACTTTCAGAATTCCAAATATATATCATTATTCTATCCTAAACTATTTAGACTGGTGGACAGATTAGGTTATGCTGCAGTAATAAATTCTAAAATGAGGCAGACCCAAAAGATTTGTTTTGTGCTCGTACAAAATTCAATGTAGGTCCAGCAGCCCCTTTCAAGTTGTATGGCCCTGTTTTCCACAGTCACTCTAGTGCAGAAAAGTAAAAGTGAAAATACATACCCATTTAGTAATCCAGTGGAAGTGACACACATCACTTCCTTTCACAGCCCTTTGGACAGATTTAGTCACATGGTGCCCAAAGCAAATACAAGAAAGGCTGGGGAAACATAAAAGGACATATGAAATAATTCAAGCTTATAGTAGACCACAGCTGTCCACCTAGCTGTGTTTGTACAGCGCCAACCAGATGGCAAAAGCAGTGTGGACCCTACATAGAGGAGGCTGCTCTATAATGCAGAGTACTCAGAACTGCTCCTGGGATCTCACTTAAAGACTGCTCCAGGACAGTTTCTGTTTTGTGTATATATGGAGATCAATCTCACGTTCACATTGCCAATGTTTCCATTCAGTTTTGTATATGGAGGACCAGGTAAAAAAGCTGATTGCCCTCCACATCCTCCAAGAGAAAGGCTACACAGAGCTAGAGGCACCAGATGACACCTTGAAAACTGTGAGCCTCATTTCTTGTACTTAGTGTTGGCCCAGCAGGTCACCAAGCATGAGAAGCCTAAGGCTTAGACTGAAGTATTTTGTGAAACCACAGAAAAATACATATAGGATCCTCTTATTCACATGTATTCTCAAAGTGTGGTCCTCAACCATGGGTATCAAAACTGAATTGCCCAAATCCAAGAATAACCTGGTTTTATCTATCAACTGAATGTTTGTCTCACCACAAACTCCTATGCCAAATCTAATTTCCAGTGTTTTGTCATTTATAAGATAGAGTTTTGGGGGAGGTCATCAGGTCATGGGGGGACTCTTAAATAGGATTAGTGTCTTCATTAAAACACACATAACACACAATAAATAAAAAGCTGGGGCTTGGGATTTAGCTCAGTGGTGCTGCGCCTACCTCATGAGTGCTGAGTTTGATCCCAGCACAGCAAAACACACACACACACACACACACACACACACACACACACACACAACACAATAAATAAAAAGCTGGGGCTTGGGATTTAGCTCAGTGGTGCTGCGCCTACCTCATGAGTGCTGAGTTTGATCCCAGCACAGCAAAACACACACACACACACACACACACACACACACACACACACACAGCGCTAGTTCATTCTCTTTGCCATATGAAGATACTGGAAGTTGGAAATGTGCGATCCAGAAGAGGGCCTAACCAGAACCTCACCATGCTGAGGGACCTTATCTTGGACTTCCTGTTTCAAAGACAAGAATAAAACACAAAATAAACAAGAACTTCTGGGAAGATCTAATACAAACGCTCTTCAAATTCTTTAATAAAACTGAAAGGGAAGGAGTATTTCCCCAAATGATTCCTGGAAGTCATATCCTGATTTCAAAGCTAGACAAGAATCCAACCAAAAAAGAGAACCACAGGCCAATCTCTTTAATGAACATAGATGCAAAAAAGTTTCAACCAGATACTGGTAAACAGAATATAACAAACCATTAAGAAGGACCTTCTCCATGTCTGCCTTGCAAGCGCAAGGTCCTAGAGAAAATGATCCTCAAAGTCATATATAGAACCAGAAGAGACCCAGATAGCAAAATCAAAAGCAAAACAAGAGGCATCACAATTCTGGATTTGAAGTTACATGACAAAGCTATAGGGATAAAAAAAATATGGTACTGGCACAAATATAGACATGGGGATCAATGGAAAAGAACATACACAACTTTATGCACCTTCAGCTATCTGATCCTTGACAAAGGGGCCAAAAACAACACTGGAGGAAAGAGCCTCTTCAATAAATGGTCCCGGGAAAATTGGATATCCATATGCAGAAAAGTCAAATTGAACCCATACGTCTCACCATGTACTAAACTAAAATCAAAGTGGACCAAAAATCTAAATATTAAAACAGAAACACTGGAAGATAAAATAATCTGCTGGAAGATTAAATAGGTAAAAATTCTTGAAGAAATGGGTATAGGCAAGCACATTCTGAAGAGAATCCCAACTGCAGAAGAAATAGCATCAAGAATCAACAAATGGGATCATATCAAATAAAAACTTTCCACACATCAAAAGAAACAATCAACAGAATGCAAAGACAACCTACAGAATGGGAAAATTTTTTTGCTAGAGAACTAATATCTAGAAAATGTAAAGAACTCAAAAAACTCAGGTCCCCCAAATAAAAGACCCAATCAAAAAATGGGCAAGTGAAATGAATACACTTCAGAGAAGAACAAATGGCTGATAAATGTATGATAAAATGCTCAATATTTCTGGCTGTGAGAGAAATGCAAATTAAAACACCACCGAGGGGCTGGGGATTTAGCTCAGTGGTACTGCCCACAAGCAAAAGGTCCTGAGTTTGATCCCCGGTACCAAAAACCAAAAAAAAACAAAACAAATAAACAACAACAAAACACTGATATTCCACCATACCTTAGAAAGAATGGCCATCATCAAAAAAATCAAATAATAGGGGCTGGAGATTTAGCTCAGTGGTTCCGCCGCCTGCCTTGCAAGCACAAGGTCCCAAGTTTAATCCCCAGTACCAAAAAATAAAAAAATAAAAAAATAAAAAAAAAATAAATGCTAGCAAGACTGCAGGAGGGAAAAACAGAACCATTTCCACCAACAGTGGGACTAGCATAACTACTATGGAAATGGGTAAGGAAATGCCTCAAAAAACTAACACTAGAAATTCCATTTGACCCAGTTACTAAGCATCTTCCCGAAAGAGTTAATGAAATCATATTACAGTGGTACATGCAGCACAGTTCATAATAGCAAAATCTTGGAAGTGATCTATATGACCATCAACAAATGAATGGAAAAAGAAAATGTTGTGCATTGGAGTACTACTTCGCCATAAAAAGGGTAAGCTTTAGTCATCTGTAGAAAAATAGATGCACCCTGAGACCATGTTAAGTGAAATAAATCAGACATAGGACTTTAAATATCACATGGTTCCTCTTATTCAAGACCCAAAACATAAAAAGCAAAATGAAAGACAGATGATAGGAAATAGGAAGATAGATCTTTTATAAATGGGAAGGAGACCAAGAGATGGAAGGAGGGAAGAAAAAGGGATAAAAAAACAATTGAGATGTGTTATGTACATGTGCCAATTTCCCATGAAGAATGTAATCATTATGTACTGCAAAAATGTACTAATAAAAAAATTGAAAAAAACAACAACAAAAACCAAAAACCTAAAATGAAAAGAAAAAAAGCCAGCCAAAAGCAACAATGGCTTGACTTCCCTAATGCAGGTTCAAGATAAATGGAATATAGTAGTACACACCTATAATCCCAGCACTTTCAGAGGTCAAGGCAGGAGGATCACAAGTTTGAGCTTAGCCTGGACAATTTAATGAGATCATCTCAGACTAAAAAATAAAGAAAAAAAGAGGGGGCTGGGATGTACCGTAGCTCACATGAAGCCCTGGGTTCAATTCCCAGCACCATAAAAACAAACAAACAAACAAAAAACCAAAAAAAACAACTAGGATACTATTCTTCCTATTCAAATGCTGATTCTTGGCATACAACCCAAATCTAATGAATCAATGTGTACACACAGGAGCAGAGGATACATTTTTATAAGTTCCCCATGTGACTATGATACATGCTATAATTTAAGAGCCAAATCGATCTGTTAAAACCATTCTGAAAGCCACAAGGATAAGAGCACCCAAAGATGCTGACTATATAAATAATACTTAATGCAATATTGTAATCTCAACAATACTGTGTTAGTTGAGAATCCAGAAAGGCATCTCTGAGCCAGGGTGGGGGGTGGGGGCTCAGTGGTGCAAAGCCCTGGGTTCCCATCAATAGGAAAATGAGATAGGCAGACAGAGACAGAGACAGAGAGAACAAAAGGAAAGGCCAAATTCTTTCTGTCCAACATAGGGCTGATTGGACAATTCAATGAAAAGTTCCATATATATCTTTTTTTTTTTTTTTTTTTTTTTTTTTTGGTGGTACTGGGGATCGAACTCAGGTCCTTGCGCTTGTGAGGCAGGCTCCGGAACCACTGAACTAAATCCCCAGCTCATCATAATTGTTTTTAACAAGATGCCTTCAGTGCCCAGAGAAGAACTACGTAGTCAACCCTAAGGTTCTTTTCTAGACAAAGGAAAAACAACCTCTTCAATTAAATTAACTTTTGTTTACTGTTTAATTTCTATTACTGCTGTTTCCCATGGAAATGTGGTAGAGCAAGGTGTAACAAGCTACTATAAAGATGAAAACTTACTTATTCTTACAGACCTGGTATTCTGGTGGTGTTTTTTCAGATAGGGTTGATCTCAAGGAAATACTGAACTGAAATACTACTCAAATTCTATCATTTTCAAAAGAGATTATGCCAAGAAACAATATGCAGGGCCGGGGATTTAGCTCAATGGTTCTACTGCCTGCCTTGCAAGCACAAGGTCCCAAGTTTGATTCCCAGTACCACACACACCAAAAAAAAAAAAAAAAAAAAAAAAAAAAAGAAAAAAAAATGCAGAGAAGGTGGTGACAGACAGGAATGGTCTTCATGACAGTGACTGTAACATTCTCTCACAAAATACTGTTGGAAGCTGGGTGTTAAGTACATGAAGGTCACTGTGTAATTTACTCTACTGTATATGATTAAATATTTCTGAAATAAAATGTTTAAAATGCTTCACAAATGTACACATGAGCACCTAGATGCATTCTTTTTATTTTATTTTTTTTTTTAGGTAAAGTTCTTTCCAGTTCTGTCTGAATGTTTTTCAAATACTTTCTCCCCATATTCATCTGTATGACGGGCTAAAATATCTTCAGTCCATTTAAGGACATTTCTTTTCTACATTTTCTTAAAAAGAATTTTCATGGGGAAGTCATGATTTATGAATCCACTATTCATGCTTCATGGAAATAAATACCACAAAAGTTAGTGTAGCCAAAACTTGTAAGATTTAAGTAATGTATTCAGAAGTTTTAAAGCTACTTAAAATTCTCAAGCACAGAAAAAAATGAAACTTTAGTAGGTTAAGTCATGTCTTTTCAACACAATTTTCAAAAGTTCTGAGTAGATTAAAATTGAACTCAGACCCAATTACATCATTTAAACACTGCTGTAATCAAAGTCATTGGCAATTTCTTTCTTTCTTTTTCTTTTTTTC